CGAATCACTGTTCTAACTAACTACAGTTGTTAAATAAACCCTAGATCCCAATTTGCTTTCCCAAATTTATTTCCGAAAATACTCTAAGTAAGCTATATATTTGGAATAGTCAAATCCAATTTGCACTTTTGTTGGTTGCAATATCTATTATCATTGAATATTTTAAGAAAAAGGTTTTATCAGCATACATAAGCAGTTATTAAATATCTATAGTTTATATATGTTTAGAAGTACGGCTGTGACAATGAATCCATGTGACAAGCGATATGAGGTTGGATTCACCAAGGCAGGACAAAAGTGTTTTTTAGTTCAATGCTAATATAAAATATCCAACAATATTTAAAGCAGAAATTATTGAGTTGGGTTTAATGAACGCGACAAAACCCTTTCTATAATCGTAATAAATCTCTTCTAAAAGCGGCTTAATTGTACAATTCCGAGCATGTGTTTATGAATCAAATAGCGATGATACCAGGTGTTCGCAAAAAAGATTGAACGCATCGTGTCCATTGGTGGCACCCGTCACAAACACACATAAAGGCAAGTCATAAGTGTTCAGCTGAAAAAACACACGAATATCTGACATCAGTTTGGTAATTGATGCGTCCTTCAAATGTCTATTGACCTGAATGCTCATCGATCCCTTGAAGATCCGGGTTATAATTGAGCTTCAGCAACCCATTCTTGTCGTCAAAGGCTACTAACGGGATCGGGTGTTATGTGTGATATGTACATTAACAATGGGATTGTCTCCTTTGGGTTCATAGCTGTGAGATATGTACATTAACGATGGGATTGTCTCCTTTGGGTTCATAGCAGTAAGATATGTACATTAACAATGGGGTTTTGTGCTTTGGTTTATGTGCATTAAGACATGTACATTAACAATGGGATTGTCTCCTTTTGTTTCATAGCTGTGAGATATGTACATTAACAATGGGATTGTCTCCTTTGGGTTCATAGCAGTGAGATATGTACACTAACAATGGGGTTTTGTGCTTTGGTTTATGTGCATTAAGACATGTACATTAACAATGGGGTTTTCTCCTTTGGTTTCATAGCTGTGAGATATGTACATAAACAATGTGATTGTCTCCTTTAGGTTCATAGCTGTGAAATATGTACAATAACAATGGGATTGTCTCCTTTTGTTTCATAGCTGTGAGATATGTACATTAACAATGGGATTGTCTCCTTTGGGTTCATAGCAGTGAGATATGTACATTAACAATGGGATTTTCTCCGTTGGGTTCATAGCTTTGAGATATGTACATTAAGAATGGGATTGTCTCCTTTGGTTTCATAGCTGTGAGATATGTACATGAACAATGCGATTGTCTCCTTTGGGTTCATAGCTGTGAGATATGTACAATAACAATGGGATTGTCTCCTTTTGTTTCATAGCTGTGAGATATGTACATTAACAATGGGCTTTTCTCCTTTGGGTCCATAGCTTAGAGATATGTACATTAACAATGTGATTGTCTCCTTTTGCTTCATAGCTGTGAGATATGTACATTAACAATGGGATTGTCTCATTTGGGTTCAAAGCTGTGATATATATACATTAACAATGGGTTTTTCTCCTTTGGGTCCATAGCTGTGATATATATACATTAACAACGGGGTTTTCGCCTTTGGTTTCAAAGCTGTGAGAAATGTCATTAACAGTGGGTTTCCTCCTTTGGGTTCATAGCTGTGAGATATGTATATTAACAATGGGATTTTCTCCTTTGGGTTCATAGCTGTGAAATATGTACATTAACAATGGGATTGTCTCCTTTGGGTTCATGGAAGTGAGATATGTACATTAACAATGGGGTTTTCACCTTTGGGCTCATGGCTGTGAGATATGTAACTTAAAAATGTGATTGTCTCGTTTGGGCTCATAGCTGTGAGATATGTACATTAACAATGGGATTGTCTCGTGTGGGCTCATGGCTGTGACATGTGTACGTTAACAGAGGGATTTTCTTCCTTTGGGTTTCCAGCTGTGACATCTGTACATTAATAATGGGATTGTCTCATTTGGGTACCCAGCTGTGATATATGTACATTAAAAATGGGGCTTTGTCCTTTGGGTTCATAGCTGTGAGATATATACATTAATAATGGGATTGTCACATTAGGGTTTATAGCTGTGAGATATGTACATTAACAATGGGATTGTCTCGTTTGGGCTCATGAGTGTTAGATATGTACATTAACAATGGGGTTGTCTCGTTTGGGCTCATGGCTATGACATTTGTACGTTAACAATGGGATTGTCTCGTTTGGGCTCATGACTGTGACATTTGTACGTTAACAGAGGGATTTTCTTCCTTTGGGTTCATAGCTGTGAAATATATACATTAATAATGGGACTTTCTCATTTGGGTTTCCAGCTTTTCTAGTTTGGTGTCCTCCGGCAACCTATGAGCATGGATTCGAATCTCGGACTCGCCCTTGATATGAATCCTTGTTTGTCAGCACCGCCTACGTACCCCTGCTCATGCTGGGGATCATTTCACCAAATCGTCTGAGGCCTGACTCACACTGGGCGTTCCTCCCACATGAAGCTGACATGCCGTCATGTAAATGAAATATTCTTCAGAGCCGCGTTTACAGAAAGTATTTTAAGGATTTATACCTTGTGAATTCTGAAAATTCAAAGGATTTGCTTGATTTTTTTGCATTGATTGTTTTACTTTGTACATAGATTCAGAGTGACAAGAAACTACCCAAAAAGCACCGTGGCCGAAGGAATGACTTTAACGTTTCCAATGGTCACCTTCCCTGTATATGGAGCTATAGTCAAGCAGCTCCACCCTGTGGTGCCTCCATTTCACAACTTTTGAGGTACAATCGAAGATTGTAAGAGCGTCATAATCACGTCAGAGGTTGTCTGATCAGGGTTACAGCATTCGGGTACTTCGTAAAGCTTCCAAATTTTATTCAATAGACATTTGAAGGACGCATCAGTCACCAAACCGATATACCATACTGATTACCATATATTCGTGTGTTATTTCAGCTGAACACTTTTGACTTGCCTTTATGTGTGTTTGTGACGGGTGCCACCAGTGGGCACGATGCGTTCAACCTTTTTGCGAACATTTGGTATCATCACTATTTGATTCATAAACACATGCTCGGAATTGTACAATTAAGCCGCTTTTAGAAGAGATTTATTACGATTATAGAAAGGGTTTTGTCGCGTTAATTAAACCCAACTCAATAATTTCTGCTTTAAATATAGATAGTTTATAACATTGACGGAAAAAATCTTTTGTCCTGCCTTGGTGAATCCAACCTCATATCGCTTGTCACATGGATTCATCGACACAGCCGTAAAGTAAAAACATAAACTATAGATATTTAATTATTGCTTATGTATGCTAATATAACCTTTTTCTTAAAATATTCAATGATAATAGATATTGCAACCAACAAAAGTGCAAATTAGATTTGACTTTTCCAAACATATAGCTTACTTAGAATTTTTTCGGAAATAAATTTGGGAAAGCAAATTGGGATCTAGGGTTTATTTAACAACTGTAGTTAGTGAGAACAGTGATTCGTGCTTCTTGTAAGACCTGATATCATCACGATTTCATAGTGAGTCATAAACACATGCTTAAGATACTGTCGGAATCGTACAATTCCTTATGATTATTTATGACTAAAGTAAGCCTTTTCTCGCGTTTGATAAAGAGGAAATATTTCAAAATAATATGCTAAAATTATTAGTACTGAAAGCTTTAGTAGGCGGTAATCCATATTATCCTATGGGTTTATTTAACATCCCGTTAGAGAAAAACATTTTAGAAAGTGAATTTGCATAAAGTCGTTAAACCAATTTAACCTTTAATATTTCCGTTCATGCATGAGTTTCAGTATTTGAAAGTATCCACTAATCTATTTTGCAAGGTTTTGTTTTACATTTCTTAAATAATTTATTCATTTAGTGGTTCAGTAATCCTTGTACAAAATTCCATTTATAGTCGGATAGTGGATAAGGGTCACATTTATTTAACAACTGTAGTTAGTGAGAACAGTGATTCGTGCTTCTTGTGAGACCTGATATCATCACGACTTCATAGTGAGTCATAACCACATGCTGATGATACTGTCGGAATCGTACAATTCCTTATGATTATAAAAAGGGTTTTCTCGCTTTTGATAAAAGGAAAAAAAAACATTTCGAAGAATGTTTCAAGATAATAATGCTATAATTAATTATTACTGAAAGCTTTAGTAGGCGGTAATCCATATCCTATGGGGTTTATTTAACATCCCGTTAGAGAAAAACATTTTAGAAAGTGAATTTGCATAAAGTCGTTAAACCAATTTAACCTTTAATATTTCCGTTCATGCATGAGTTTCAGTATTTGAAAGTATCCACTAATCTATTTTGCAAGGTTTTGTTTTACATTTCTTAAATAATTTATTCATTTAGTGGTTCAGTAATCCTTGTACAAAATTCCATTTATAGTCGGATAGTGGATAAGGGTCACATTTATTTAACAACTGTAGTTAGTGAGAACAGTGATTCGTGCTTCTTGTGAGACCTGATATCATCACGATTTCATAGTGAGTCATAACCACATGCTAATGATACTGTCGGAATCGTACAATTCCTTATGATTATAAAAAGGGTTTTCTCGCTTTTGATAAAATATATAATAATGCTATAATTAATAATTACTGAAAGCTTTAGTAGGCGGTAATCCATATCCTATGGGGTTTATTTAACATCCCGTTAGAGAAAAACATTTTAGAAAGTGAATTTGCATAAAGTCGTATAACCAATTCAACCTTTAATATTTCCGTTTATGCATGAGTTCCAGTATTTGAAAGTATCTACTAATCAATCGGAAATCATGACGATAATGGCCTTCGTTTTCAGATGCCTTGGGATACACAATGTTGACTGTGACGGAGGGAGGCATCGGGCGGGGTGCCAAAGAGCAAGAAAGTGATTGATCTATTCAGTATGGGCGATCACACCATGTCCCGCAATGGAATAATAAAGGAAGCGGTCATCAATCATCAGAATTTTCACTTTTTTTCAATGTGTATAAATATAAGATATTTCTTTCATAGTCACTTCACACCTCATTCTTCCTGAGACCGTCAAGTGTAAGTATACTTCTTTTATATTATATTTTCTTTAAACGTTTAGTAGCAGTGTCACAAACACAAGAAAACATGGTATTCCTTTTGCAATGAACAGGGTCGCATTTTGTTCTGTTGACGTTTCACGTTCCTCTGCTACACAGGCTTTGGTATTTCAATGGCTACTCAAATCCCATGAGTGTATGTTTATTACAAACCTTATTGTTTGTTGTTAAACGTCGCAGTCAGAACTATTCCAGCCATATCACGGCGACCTGTCTCATGTAGGAGGCCAATAAACATAGCCTGATGACTCAATTAATGTTTTTGCCTCTTACGACAAGCATGTATTGCTGGGAACCCATTCTAAACTGGTACCCCAACACAGTTATGGGTCAAGGTACGTAAGTAAAACCGTCATGTACATACATACAACCTTGGAAAGGGTGAATAGTTGATTAAATGTGATGCATTCGTTATTCTCAAGACCGCCTCCATGGTCTCGTGGTAGAGGGTCGGCCCGGAGAGCGGAATGTCCGGGGTTCGATCCCCGGCCGCGTCATACCAAAAGACGTTAAAAGATGGTACATTTTGTTACCCTGTCCGGCGCTAGGTATTAAGGGGCTAAAACAAGGACTGGTCGTCTCGGAGTCAGTATGCTGTGCCTTAGTAGGGTATTCATGTTAAAATGCGGCATGGTATCGCCGTGAGCAAGCACTATACATCAGCATCAGTCCTGACTAATACAAGCAGGTACACACACAAACACGTGCATGCACGTCGCTACATAAGTGCAATAATCATGGACGCGACGGTAAACCCCATTTCACCTCACCTCTCCGTTATTCTCAATAAAATACAAATTAAATTTGTGTAGGGTTGACTCAGATTTTGCTGGAAAAGTGGCTATAACTTTAACTCAAATTTAAAGAAATGACTAAAGTCTAACTTTTCACAGGAATACATGTATGGACAAACTTCAAACACATAACGTGACAATAACTTAAGTTGGGATAAAGATATTAACCAATGCTAGAATCTCTAGAACGTATGTAAGTGTTTGCATGTCAGATATGTACTTACATATTACACAGTAAAAAAATGTCATCTATTAGGGCACATATTTTCATGAAGCTTACTCAGATTTGAACCCTCCTGAAAACCTGTGAATAATTACCTTGTCATGATAATGTGTTACATGGTGAAGAAAATGGCTAACTACCATGATTGGAACAAATTTATACCCGTTGCCCACTATTGTGACAATTATGCTCACCCAATCATATATGGTTGGACCTTAGGTTACATTAGCGAAGACCCGTGAAGATTCCGGGGTAGAATAGGTCTTCAGCAACCCATACTTGCCGTAAAAGGCGACTATGCTTTTCGTAAAAGGCGACTAACGGGATCGGGTGGTCAGGCTCGCTGACTTGGTTGATACATATCATCGATCCCAATTGCGTGGATCGCTGTTCATGATATTAATCACTGGATTTTCTGGTCCAGACTTGATTATTTACGGCCCGCCGTCATATAGCTGGAATATTGCTGAGTGCGGCGTTAAACAACAAACCAACCAACCAACATTAGCGAAACTGGAACAAAATAGGAACATCTAGGTTCTCTGTAAGGGCCAACATGTCTTTAGTTAGAAAATAAAGGCAGTATAATGTCATAGTGATGTGGAATGATAAGAACCTTTGTAGCTCGTTAAATCAACATAATTTAAGAAATTAGCTACCTTTTTGAAATTATCATGTTTGTCACCAAAATGTTTTGGTATTGATGAGAATTACAATCTGTATTTTTTCGGCTGAAAACTTATTTTTCTATATTTGGGAATTTTTATGTTCATGTGTACACATATTTCGTCCCCAGATTCCAGTCATCATGATGAATCTTATCACCATCGCTATCTTTGCCAGCCTAATGGTTGCTACTTTGGGTAAGCCAGCCTATGGTGGTATCGGTATTGGAGGATTTGGAGGCGGTCTGCATGGAGGCCTAGGAGGTCTTGGAGGCTTTGGGGGACTTGGAGGCGGTCTGTATGGAGGTCTTGGAGGCGGTCTGTATGGAGGCCTAGGAGGTCTTGGAGGCGGTCTGTATGGAGGCCTAAGAGGTCTTGGAGGTCTTGGAGGCGGTCTGTATGGAGGTCTAGGAGGTCTCGGAGGCGGTCTGTATGGAGGCCTAGGAGGTTTTGGACGCGGTCTGTATGGAGGCCTAGGAGGTCTTGGAGGTCTTGGAGGTCTTGGAGGTCTTGGAGGCGGTCTGTATGGTGGCTATGGAGGCTTTGGAGGGCATGGTTTCGGAGGCTTCGGTCGTAGTAAGAAATATTAAATACGTCGACTTAACAAAACACATTGAATAAAAAGGCGGAGATTGCACGGACAGCTAAGCTTCTCGGGAGCGCTTTAAGCCGCCTGCTTGTTCGAATCACTGTCGTACATTTCTAGAAAGTGGAAAACGCCTACGAGTTACTTGACCTTGGACCATTTTTACACATGACACATAACTCATAAACTGTTTGACTGAATGTTCCTAATTATCAAAAAAACTTTCATTCATTTTCTTACAAAAGCCACATATATTTGCCACTTTCATCAAGTGTTTTATCCTTTTCTTTGCAGGATATTAATCGGGGAGAAGAGATTTTATCTTGAGAAATCCGACCAACATTTTACAGAATTAAAATTTGCAAACTGCTCCTTTGTTATTTTCTGTTGTTTTAATTTTGGACCCCATGGACATTACGGGTTACAATAGGCCCCCACCAACCTAAGCTGGTCGTAAGATTGTTTGTTTGTATTCTCACGACGCACTCAGCAACATACACGCAATCAACCAAATCATCGAACCTCACAACCCGATAAAGTCGACCCTTACGTCCACCATAGGTTGCAGTTGACCTTTTCTAACCCGGAGTCCCCATGGGGTAACAGGCGACCAAATTGACCGGATGGTCGCCACTGACTATACCTGAGAGAGTGAATGTTAATTTACGCCGCAGTGACAATGACACACGATCTCATGTTAGTCGGTTCTGACGCATGCATGGACAGCTGGAACCTACTCTGCCTCGTGAAGGGGACCAGGGTCAGAAAACATCAATGTCTGGTTTATTGTCGGTAATATATACGTTTGTCAGCACCACACTCGTGCACGTTGGTTTTACGAAAGTAAAATGCGTCTGAGATCTACACCACTTCAGGTTTCCTCCCACCTCAATCTGACACGCCATGTACCGCAACGCACTTGTTTATATTCATAATTATTTGCAAGGTCTGTTTTGACAAGATCAAGTCGCCACAGAGACAAAACCCCTAAAAGAATAATGATATTTCTTCTGGGAGACAAAACGGAAACACGCAACCTGTAGGCATATTATATGGATACCCAAAATATAGTTATGTCAGTATCTCTTATCCAAAAGAGTAGAATGAGTCGTGTTCTACGCCGCTTTTCGTAATATTCCAGACATATCACGTTAAGAGACATGAGAAGGAGCTTCACAATTGTACCCATGTCGGGAAGCAAATGCGGGCTTTTGGTGTGACGAGCGAGTGAAAATATCTCCGTTCCCCCCCCCCCCCCCGTCACGAGATGAAAGGAACATGATATTTTCATTATATACTTCTTGTGTGGTTGTTTGCCGGAAAATTAAATTATTTCATTACAAATGTAAAACCTTGAAATGTAAATTCTCCCTACCTAACACACAGGACGGTTCACCACGCCTTGCACATGTGACTAAAAAAGTAGTTTCGTGTTTGCAAAATCTTAAAAGATATGAACAAAATTAACAAAAAATATTAAGGATCACGAAAAGTTCTGTATCATACATATAGATAATTATGATTATATATGCAATCAACTTAAACAAAAAATATTCTTGAAAACTACGAGACCGCTGTTGGAAGTGAAAGAATACACGCTGGTCAAGTAACCAAAATGGCGCTTTGCGAAACGAACACTCTCGATTGACGAGTTAAATGAGAAATTTACAGTTTATAATGAAACATTTTCAAGAGAATAACGAACATCATCAAGCGATATTAACTCCATAAATGATATAAATCAAGTGTTATGTTCACTGCAGTTAAATAAATATTAAGTGTTATGTTCACAATGAAAATATCACTTTTCTACATTTCGGAAAACTCAGACTTTCACACTGAAGTATATAATAAAAGATAGCTTAAGCGATAAATCGCAAAGAATAATGAAGAACGAAGCATTGTTTTTTTCACGATAAAACATTGTTCTATCATGATATGACATCATGCCTGGAGATTCTAACATGCGCTCGTCACTTAATGACGTCCTTAATTGGACGACGTTAATTTTGAGAGGGAAGTGTCTAGAGTGAGTTGTTCCCCAGAGATGTAGTCGAACAACGCAGATGAACGCAATGGCCGAACGATCGCACAAATATTAGGAGAGATATGACAATCGATAATGGGAGAAAATATACAGATAATCGACGTGAAAATTGTGAGAATACAAGACTTAACCCCCCTATACAAAAATGGAGTTGTCCGACATTGACGAGGTCGGATTGTATTCAGGGAGTCATCATTATTTAAATACGGGTAAATGTTTAATGTTTTACGATTTCTTGACATCCTCAAAAAGGCTGAACAAAATATTGATTTATCGTCTAAAACTGGCTCTCACAGGAGATAATGCTTGGGTGAGATCAAGCGATATCTATATTGTAGATATCACTGAAATGAGATTACATCATAATGCTTTGCAGACCATTGTAACGTCATTGTTACCATGACGTCACAATTAAATGACATCACTAATGATTCTGCTACTGAAGCTGTTAGCAGTACTCTTTACACTTGGACACTGCTTATTACTGTCTACAATTTGAAAAAGTTGGACGAATGATGTTGGGTGATAAATAAAACCTCACCCTTGCGTCTTTTCATATCAACACTTGTATAGATTCTCTATTTATTACTTGCCCGTGAAGAGATCACCCGTTTAATAAACATACAGCTGTATTACACATTGTGTAATACCAAAACGCGTGCTTGTGTACTCTCGGAACACGTTTCACGAACAAATATTGAAAGCTCTCAACATCTCTTGGCTTATTCAAAGACATTGCGTGTGGAGTTGATAGATCACTGAGAGGAGCTTATGCACACTCAATGACCCCAGCTACCTTGTTGCTAGGCTGACGTCAGATGTCATTGTTTCGCCGATGGGTCTTGCAACAAAATTCCACAAATTACGTCACCGGGTATTGTGACGTTATTGTAAAGTTTGAGGTACAAGGCCCGTTCCACAAGGCGATCGTATTGACCTTTTTCACACTTTGCTACTTCCGGTTTGAAAGCGAGGCTTGGAGAGCAGAAGGAGAAGGCTGGATAGCACCCGAAACACATGGAGATGTCAACAAGGCATGCAATCGGGACAAACTGTGACAATTTAACCACCCCGGTACATTTATCGTAAGTATTGAACATTATTCTTATTGACAAAGTATTCTACTGTTATCTGGTCTCCTTACCGATATAAATTTGAGTCTGGCCGTTTTGTTGTGATTTCAATTTAAAATATCCATGACCACCTGGTAACTCCCAGTGCAGTTTATGGTAGCTGGACAGACTTAATACAAATTCTACTGAAATCTTGTAAAAAATAATTCATTGTTTACACACCATTAAGCCAAACTATTTATTGTGAGTTTAAATAACTTTGCGGGTTGTATTTGAAGTCGAAATATTGACCTTTTGACCATATCTAGATATATGTCAGAAACTAACTAAATTGATATGTTGATATAATGTATCAAATTGTAACCTACTGAGAATTTACAATCGTAACAAATCAGAAGTTTGCATCAGTTGTGTATTTGATGTAAATTGTAATGGACTCAAATGCATTCCAATAAAATATTAGACCTCTAGATCTACTTGTGCTGTTGGGATTGTGAACAGTTGTAATTTTGATTGTCAATGTTGACAGATTAGATAAGCATGAGGTGTAATATTTCGACTGAATTATTACATAAAGGGTGTGTAAATATTTAAAGTAAAGTACAGTTTGATCTGCAATTTTGGTAACAATTAATATTTCTACCAAAATGATATTTACTTTACTGTACCAATTTAATCATGTCATGAAATGAACAAAAACCCAACTAATAATGTCCAGTAAATGTTCAATCTACATGTGATCTTTATATAATTTACAGAAACAGATAACTCTTTAACAGTTTGTATTCAAATATTTCAAATGCATAAATTGATATTAACATTACTAAAAACTTAAAGTATAAAAAGAATTATTTTTAATTCCCATGCGTATTGCAATCATAACTAATTTATTCCCTTTGTTTAATTGTGAAACCCATCTGGTTTTATGTCCACAAACATGTTTTGAAACTTTTAAAACAAAAAGATATTTTTGGGTGCAAGCAATTGCCATGTATTATCGTTTATTAATCATATCAATTTATATATAAGAATATAGTTGTGCTTACTGTGTCATTTTGCAATGATTATATTGTTATGATGTAATATTTTACTGTTGTTAACAATCTTTAGAACTTTAGTTTATTTCAATCACGTCAAGTGGTGTGATTATTTTGATATTTTTTTTATAATTCAATCAAAACGAGAATAATAAAAAAATATAAATGCATAGAAGAAATTTGTTTTCCTTGTCAAATAACGATGATAGCATGAATTTATCTCATGCTCCTTGTATAGCATGCTCCTTGTGAAAATTCATTCCATTTCTTCTTCGAATGTACCTTATATGATGATTTTAGGGAGACATTACTGACAGCTATCGATAATCTTGGAGGACAAAATACTCTACATAGTATTCTTTTTGGTGATTCAAACTTAGATGTTTTCCTGAATACAAAAATATTCTTGTCTGTACACAAATATATAGAAACGACTAACATATTCAGTAGCTAGCATATTATTGTTTCCAAACTGTTAATCATTAATATTGTTAAATCTATATTCAACACTAAAATGTATAATATAAGATATGTATGAGATGCACACTGTCTTCACTTTCCAGCACATTGTACAGATCCTTCATATGAGCACTGTATATATATTGCACACTATGTTTCCACAATGTGAAGCTTCAACTGTAAATTGTTCATTTTCATTATGCAATATTATGTATAACTGTATATAGGGAGAAGGTGGTAATAAGTGCTGCCCTTTATCTTTTTGGACAATAAAATATGTTTAATAATATTTCATCTTGTGATCTGACAAAGTTAATATTTTCAAGTCAAAATATCAACTTTAGTAGAAGAGATAAATATTGCATTTGACAAAATAAATTCAAGTCTTATATTTTCTTTGTGATCTTCATGACCTTACTCAGAAAACCATAGTGTCAATGAGGCAGACTGACTGTAGGTGTGACAAAACGTGATAATTCACCTGATTTTAATAAAAATCTTATTTTTTTCACTCTAGCGAAAGTATGTTTTCAGCATGGTCATGATTAAATACATACCGGTGTCAAAACGTGTTTTATTAAAACAAGAGTGAATTTCTGTGTGATATTGATATAAAGAGCTGTAGTACACTGTCATTAAATTGATGCATCTGTTGATTTTACCCTTTACACAGAATATACTGTTTGAGTTTTCGACATATCAGATGAATTGATGCCTTCAAGATTGTTCTAAAGTACATGTAGCATGTAATGT